CAACCTTCCTGTAAGTCAGCATCTCTCCCATCCCTCCCGGTGACGTGACTCTGGAGCTGAGCAGCTGCAGGAATTCATGTGAGTTCAGACCGGGCTGAACTTTTGCACAGTGACCCGCCAGGTCAGCGTGGGAAGGAGTGGGATAGAGAAAGACAGAGAACAAAGACACCCATCACAGCCCTGCCCGCTCACAGCCTGCCATGTGCAGGATAGCGGGACAGGGTCGGGGACAGGGATGGGGATGGAGATGGGGATGTGCTGCCATGCGCATGGGGGCTGTTTGGAGGAGCTGCTTGCAGTGCGTGCCAGGGATACAGCCTTTCCTAGCTGGCTGGGCTGGGGCAATTGCACAGGAGAGGTGATGGGGATGGAGGTGGTGATGGGGATAAGGATAGGGATAGGGATGGGAGAGGCCTCTGTTTCCGCAGAGAGACCCCCACAAAAAATGACTTCCTCTGGCGTCTGCTGTTCCCTCACCAGGGGATGACCCCACCTGGGGGGACCCTGATGAAGCACAGAGAGACCCAGGGGACAGCCCCAAGGGCCACCATACCCTGTTGCTCCCAGGGCTGCTCCAGTGTCCCAAAGGCCTCAGGGTCTGCTGGGCAGGGGCAGGGTCCTTGTGGGGTCCCTCCTGGGGGTGCCCTCTGCTGCTCAGGGTAAAAGGTCCTTCATCCCCCTGGGAGCAAACCTCAGCCCTTCCCCAGCCCCGAACTGAGCCGGGCAGTCAGGACCCCACAGGGATTTCGGCCACAGCCCTTTTCCATGCTGGGCAGACCGGGGCTCCCTCTTGGCACGGAGAGATGCCCTGAGAGATCAATCCCTGCTGGCCAGGCCATTTTAAGCTCTATTTAAACTCAAGTGCAACCAGCTCTGCAGAGAGCACCTTCCCATTGACCCGTGGTCATCCACAGCCCGGGGTGGCTCAGGGCCTCAGGGGACTTTTCATTTGTGCACATTAAAATTTCATATTTCTCAGAGCAAATTGGAGATGCCCCAATAGGAAAATACAGCCAAAGGAAAATGCACAGATCATGTGGCTTCTCAGCAGACCTCAGCTTCTTACATTTCATCCCTCAGCCCAAACACCGCAAATGCGGAAAATAACCAGTGGGAACACGTCTGCTTCGGCACCCGGCATAACCCTGTCATTTCCCAGGACAAGCTCCAGTGTTGGGTAACGGCAGGGCAGGGAGCGGAGCCACATACAGGATTCATTTCGCCTGACGTCGTTAACCAGGAGCAATAGTCAACACATGAAATTGTGTTTCCCTGTTTGTCCCAGTGACTCGGGGGTTTGGTGTTTCCCAGTTCAGAGGGCTCTCCGTGCTGGGTGCTCCAAGCTCAGGCTCCGCAGGCACGGGTCCTGCCAGCTCACCCTCTCCTGGGATGCCAAAATAAACCAGAAGGAACAAGATGAAAAGAATGTTTTTCATTTTTTTTGGGGGGGGGGGCGATCCCATCTGGGAATTTTTTGGCAGAGCCGTGGTTGCCCCTCCAGCACTCAGGGGTGGTAGTGGGTGTGGTGACAGGTCTGTCCCTTGTGGGGGAGCAGATGTACAACATCTGGCACGACCCAGGGGTGCAGGGGGTACAGGCCAGCCAGGCACACCCCAAGGTGCCATGCAGGGACTGTAGGTCCCGCAGAGAACCCTGAAGCTCGCTCCCTGCCAGGGGTGAACCCTCCCCATCACACCCCCCGCAGCAGGGTGAGTGCAGAGGGGCCCCTCAAACCTCAAAGGTTTGGAAAAAGCAACAACCACAATTTGCATATTTTGCTGTTTGTTTTTCCCCTGCTGTGTTTCCTATCTGTTGGTTGGGGGTTTTTTTCCCTCTTTTCTTTTTTCCTCATTTGAAAAATTCTTTCTGACCGTGAAATAAATGAGAAGGCACCCACCGGCGGAGGGGGCTGGGGCTCTCCGGACTCTGCGCCTGCTGAAATTTCCCAAATTCCTCCTTCCTCAGCTCCTACCTCTGTGACTCTTCCCCGTGTTGCTGCTCCTGGGTGCTTGTCCTGAGGCCTCTCACTCGCCCTTTCCACAAGCAGCAGCCGGGGAAGTGCTTGGAGACGGCCCTAACAAGAAACTGGTGGCTGGTACATATTCCTGCAGCAGCCTCCTACGGCTGCGTACATAAACACACCTACCCCAAAGAGACGCTTTGCTCCCAACAACAGGGAGTTTATCCACGCACAGGAAAAAGATGGGAAACCCTGGATATTAGTTGCCTACTCGGGCACGGGAAAGTAAGTTTGGCTGATGGAACTACTGGGTGCTCACGTCATTGCTTTGGCAAGGCTGAGTGTCGTGGGAGAGGCTGGGCTTAAAAATCAGCTCTGCAAAAGTGCAGTTAAATACGGGGTGGCAGAGTCTTGCAAAAATCCTCAGGGGAGAGCTGTGTGGGGCAGGAAAGCTGCTCCCAATGGCCACTGCCCTTGGGAAGCTCCTGTGCCACCATCTTGCCTGCACACGGGTGACACGGGGACTCCTGGGAGGGTAAATCCCACCACCAAGCGTTTTTGGACAAGATGAAAAGGCTTGTCCCCTGGGATGTGCCCTGAGCTGCAGGGCTGCGAGTGGCAGCGGCAGGATGGAGGTAGAACTGCAATGGGTTTATGTGGGGCTGAGCGGCGACGTGCTCGGCACAACCCCCCACTGCAGCCCTGGTCCCACAGGGGGTCACCATGAGCCTGACCTGCGGGCAGGGCCCAGCAAGCAGTGAGACATGGGTATTTGCCCCCTAAAGACGGCATGGATGGGAACGCACACTCCTCTAGGGTGTGCTTTGTAGATGAGGGACTGAGCACTGGCACAGCACGAGGAAACATCCAGCAGGGAGGGAGGGAGCAGAAGGGCTCCATCTGCTCTGAACTGAAAAGAGCCGAGAGTGGCTCCATCACAGTGTGTGAATTCCTTCATGGGGAGGAAAAACAGAGACTGAAAATCCCTTTAAGCCAGTGGAAAAAGGCAGGACAAGAGGGAAGAGCTGGTAATCGGAGTGAAAGACACTTGCAAATGAAATAAGATCAACATTTTTCACAGGGGGATAATTGAAGCCTTAGAGGGTGGAGGAATTCATCCCAGGAGCATTTAGAGGCGTGAACGTCCTGCTGTTCCCAGAGGAGCTGACCCCAAGTGTGCACCCTTCCCAAGGCTGGCAGCACCCTGAGGGGCACCACCCGGCAGCCGTGTGTCTGCAGAGCGCAACCATGCCGGTGCCAGGGCCTCCCAGCAGAGCCCTGCACCCACAGCGGGCACCACTCCGGGGCCCTCAGCACCCATTAGGCCTGGGAGCTCTGTGCCTGCGGCACACACACCCCCCAAGGCCAGCAGCTCCCAGTGGGGCATGGCCTGGGGTGAGGACATGGGTGCAGGGACGTGGTGGGGCAGCACCCATGGCCGGGGGCTCCACTGGGGGGGATCAAGTGGCAGGGTTTGGTGGCATCGGGGCTCCCCAGGGCAGGGTGAGAGGCAGGGTGGTCAGCAGGGATGCGATGGGGATGGGGCTGTAGACAGCGACAGGGATGGGAATGGGGACACAGATGGGGACAGGGATGGGGATGGGGATGGGTATGCGGACGGGGACAGGGATGGGGAAAGGGACAGGGATGGGGATGGGGACAAGGATGGGCACAGGGATGGGGATGGGTATGTGGATGGGTACAGGGATGGGAATGGGGACAAGGATGGGGCTGGGGCTGGGGACGGGGATGTGGACAGGGACAGGGATGGGAATGGAGACAGGGATGCAGATGGGGATGGGAATCGGGATGAGGATGGGGACAGGGATGGGAATGTGGACAGGGATAGGGACAGGATGGGAATGGGGATGGCGATGGGGACAGGGACAGGGATGGGGATGAGGACAGGGACAGGGATGGGATAGGGATAGGGCGTGTGAACGGGCGCGGGCAGGGCTCAGCGGCGAGGGAGCGAGGCTGCCCCGGGCGGGAGGTGGAGGGGGCGACCGGGCTCGGAGCCGAGGCT